CTTAAAACGTTTTAAAATTTATAAATTACTAACAGCATGGCCCGGCGTTGCCTGTGTTTGATTCAAAAATCGTACGACTCATACAGCAATCGCTATCACTTGACTTAAAATATTTTTGCCCTTCCTTGCCTTTAAAGGAGTGTCCTTTGCCGTGCTGATGTTACTACATGCCTTACTTCTTGCCTATCTCACACTGCGAATTTTTTTTTAACCTCTATGCTAAACATTAAATCTGTTACGAAAAAAGAACTAAACAAAATGAACACAAAACGATCTTTAAAAGCTTTAAAAAACTGGAAAAAAATGAACAAAAAAGAATGTTAACAAAAGAATGCCATGTGCCATGCATTTAAATTTTTCCCACTTGTGACGAATGCAGCTATCGATTTTTTTTTGCATGCTAGCATGCTAGTTAACATTCGTGTCAGCCAGCTGTTGGCTCTCACGCTGGCCAATAGAATCTTCCTGTCTATTCGTGGCAGCCAGCTATAGGCTCTCACTCTGACCAGTAAAAAATGGCCGCAAACTACATGAAAACTGCCGTAGAAACATGAAAAAATCGATTATTTCCACTATCGATGGGAGTTGGGAAATACAAAGTCAGGCTTGGCCTTCTCGCTAACTTGGAGCATGTGTATGTAAATCCCTCGAAAATTGCGGCCGTGCATTCGTTACACACACATACACATCCTGCCTTTTATAGATAGAGATTCTAATTACAATTTGACAAACATTAAAACAATTCTTGTAAAAATTCATTATTTATCAAATTTTTTCTTATTTAAGCCTTTAGTGTCCATAATATATCGTATTTATAAAATCAATGAAGAGTTTTTTGTTTTTTTTAATTAAATAATGATTTAGTTTTTATTTTACGATTCTGAGCAGACTTTTGATACCTGGAGATCCTGTTTTACAAAAGAAAAATGATGATTTTAATTCTCCAAGGACTTCTGCTTTTAACTAATATGGAGAGTAAGTGGTGCAAAAGTTAATTTCTAGAAATTTCATAAAATTAAATACATGGGTGGGTGGGTAACAATTGTAAAATTGGTTTTTATCAAGATTCTTTTAAAAAAATGAAACATTTCTAAATTTAATTCATTCAAATCCTGAAAGTTTCATTGAAAACCGACAATTATTTGATTTTTGCAAGAATTTCTAAATCAGTTTGTTTTTCACCGCAAAAAAAGATCGCTAAAATATTTGATACTAATCTTTTGCGTCCCCACTGACGCAAGAAAAACAAAATTTTTAACACCCCCACCATCAAAAAAAAATAAAAAGGATCAAAATATATAAATTTAATAATGAAAATATTCCTTGGTCTTTCTTCTTAATACTAACATAAAGATTCTGACGACAAAACATTGCTTTTGTTAAGTTTGGGGCGTTTTTTATCACGATATGCTCATTTTTAGCAAATCTATGGAGGTATCTACTGAAAAATGACGTTATGAATATATCTGAGCGAATAGTTTTGTAAAAAAAAAAAAAAAAAAAAAAAAAACTGGTGCCAAAAAGACGAAACAAGTAAATTGAAAGAAATATGTGATTAGAATAGTACTGAGTGTGTAACTTGAAGCCTTTGAGCTATAATTTCTTTAAACTTAAGCAGAACATGAAAACGATACACAGGCTACTGTCAAATATGAACTAAGACTACACTTAACTAGTTTTTACTGCATCACGTCAGGCAAAGAAAAGGCAATGATGTCCTGGTATTGTGATAACGTTTAGGGCAAATATCTCTTTGCAGTATAAATTTTCTATTGCTCTCCCCCACCTTATCTTTAACCCCGCGCACACACGTTCTACTTCCAACACCGGCTTTTAACATTAACAATTGCAAAAGCTGTAAGGGCATAAGTCGAGACGGCGCAGGGCTGGAGGTGAGAGCGTTCGAGTCTCAGGTGTAAAGAGACATAAATAACGGATCTGTTGTAGCGGCCAAGCGACAGAAGTGAATGGCTTGGGTCAGTTCCAAGACGGGAGATAGAAATTGCCAAAGAGGAGACACGAAGAATTGTCATTCGTCTGTCTGTGCGTCTGTCTGTTTTGAAGAAGAAAAAAAAAACGAATGTCTTTCGTTTAAACATCGTCGCCTTCAGTTGCCAACCTTCCACCCTTCGACCACTTTGTCTTGCTCAGAATGAAATAAAGTTGCAGACAATGGAAGTTGATAAATAACAATAGTTTATTTTAAATGAGAAAAGGAATTTTTAAAAATGGAAGGGGGTTGGTTGGCTGTCAAAGCGTTAAAAGCTAAATTAGAAAATGGTAAAAAAAAAATAGAGGAGGAAAATGAATTAAAAGTAGAAATAGAGGAAATTGTGGGAAAGAGAAAACAAATATGGAGAAACGAACGACTGAAGAAAAATAGAGGAATTGGTTTGTTTTGTTTTACGGCATATCAACACCTCAATGGGTTATTTAATGCTAACAAGATTTTTATTGCTGGTAATATTTTTTTTTCAAAAATGTATTACTGGCAATATTTTTCCTCAAAAATGTATTGCTGGTATTTTTTTTCCAAAAATGTATTGCTGTTAATATTTTTTTTTAAAAAAAATGGATTGCTGGTAACATTTTTTCTTCAAAAATGTATTGCTGGTAATATTTTTTCCCAAAAATGTATTGCTGTTAATATTGTTTTTTTTTCAAAAATGTATTGCTGGTAACATTTTTTCTTCAAAAATATATTGCTGGTAATTTTTTTTTTTCAAAAATGTATTGCTGTTAATATTTTTTTTCAAAAATGTATTACTGGTAATATTTTTTCTTCAAATATGTATTGCTGGTAATATTTTTTCTTCAAATATGTATTGCTGGTAATATTTTTTCCAAAAATGTGTTGCTGTTAATATTGTTTTTTTCAAAAATGTATGGCTGGCGATAACATATTGTTGGTAATAATGTATTGCTGGCAATAATTTTTTTCTTCAAAAATTTATTGCTGGTAATTTTTTTACAAAAACGTGTTGCTGGTATTAAAACCTATTTTTACACTTTCATAATGTTTTGACACCAGTTTGCTTGTTAACAAATTGCCCATAGTTGGAACCCTAACAGGTGCTACCACCACGGGTCAGGATTGACTTAGAAACACCAGCAATTAAGAGGTGCTTCCACGCTCCTCAAAACCTCCTGGTGTTGGATGTAGTTTATCGTCTTACTCAGGACGCAGAAATAGAGGGGGAAACGGCATAAAAGACTACGTGAGGACGATATAAAGAGAGAACATACGAAAGTACAAGGAAAGACCAACTTGTGAGAAGGAAAATACAGAAGATGGAAATAAATATCATAAAAGTGAAAATAATTGAAACGTAAAGAAAAGAGAAAGATGATAAAAAAATAGGATCAAGACAAAAACATTGAAAAAGACTAAGAAATATAAACCATGATAATTGACTGAAATATGATTAATAATTTCGCTACTAATATGTAAAAATCAATCTTCTTATATGGCACTAGATTCTGGACAATTTCGGCATAGATTAAAAGAACATTTTAGGTAGCATAGACGTAATTCTGCAGAAGTAAGGTGAGATAAAAAAAAAATGGACAGAGCATCTAAGTAACGCGAAAGATTTTAGTAAAATTAAAATAAAAAGGACATTTGGAATCAGAAATAAACAACTGAAATATTTGGGATGCATAATAAAGAAAGACGGCTTGGAAAATATGAGACTCACAGCATATATTGAAGGAAAATTCGGACAAAGGGGGCGCTCATACTTGTACTCAGAAGGAGACAGTTGAAAATTCTGGAATGCATAATCAGAAAAGAGATTTTGCAAAAAATTAACACTCACAGGACATACCGAAATGAAAACAATGAAACTTTATTTGATCGATTGATTCACTTATTTTTACGGCTTATCGACGTTTTGGAGATTATTTAAAGTTAGAAAATATTTTTAAATTGTAAGAATGTTTTTGAGATAAAAATGATTTTGTGATGCAAGTCATAGATAGATAGATAGATAGATAGATAGATAGATAGATAGATAGATAGATAGATAGATAGATAGATTGATTATGAAATGGACAAAGTCCGACAATTATTTAAGACATTTTTTTTAAAAAAAAACTTATAATAGATAAAAATAGATAGATAGATAGATAGATAGATAGATAGATAGATAGATAGATTGATGAAAAGAGGTGGATTTATAACTTTCCTAAGGGTATTTTCACATAAGGGAATATAACGAAGGCAACTGGAATTGGGACTCGGCTCTCCCATTAAAAATTCCAAGCCATTATTCATTACACCTCACGCCCATCGAAGCTTACCGCAGCGGGTTTTCTCAAGTGGTCACCTATTTCAGATAGATAGATAGATAGATAGATAGATAGATAGATAGATAGATAGATAGATTATGAAATGGACAAAATCCGAGAATTATTTAAGACTTTTTAAAAAGAACGTATAAAGATAAAAAATGTCTTAAATAGATAGATAGAGAGAGAGAGAGAGGGGGGGGACATAGATAGATAGAGAGAGATAGATAATGAAGAGATTTAGATCATAAACAGATTTGGCTAGCTCGCTAGATAAATAGATAGATAGATATCAGCAGATTGAGATAGATAGATAGATAGATAGATAGATAGATAGATAGATAGATAGATAGATAGATAGATAGATAGATAGATAGATAGATAGATAGATATAAACAGACTGATAGATAGATAGATAGATAGATAGATAGATAGATAGATAGATAGATAGATAGACAGACAGACAGACAGACACACAGAATGCGATAGAAAAATAGATAGATAGATACATAGATAGAGTATGTTTATATCAATGTATGCATGCAGAACGAATGACAGGAAAAAAATTCTACCGCAAGAAAGTAAAACTTTCTCAAATTTTCTAAGGATTCTTACGCATAATTGAATATAACGGACCCATCTGGAATTGGTACTTGGCTCTTCGATTAACAATCCCGGGCCATTAGCATTACACCACTTGCACATCGATGCTTACAGCACCTAGTATTCCCAAGCGATCACCCATCTAGGTATTGACCAGACTCGACGTTGCTTAACCTCGGTGATCGTACAGGAACCGGTGTTTCAACATGATATGGCCGTAAACCTGCAAAACTTTACTAGAACGTTCGAATTCCCTGAAGATTTTTTTTCAAACCTCGAGTTTCTTTATTATGGACTTTCGATTTGACTGTGATCAGACTCTTGAAAGTGTTGTCAGATCCATTTCCTAACATGTGTTTTTTAACGAAGAATTGCCCCGAAGTGAAATGTCTGTTCGACTTCGCCATCGTAAAACAGGTCCAGCAACATCTGTCGTTGCCATGTCAATATTTCAATGGCAAATGTTCGGACTGATTTGTTTTCTTACGGCTTATCAACCCTTGGCTGGTTATTTAAAGCCAGAAAATATTTTTAGAGTGTAATTTTTTTTTTGTTTTTTTTTTTTTGTTTTTTGAGATAATAAATTATAATGTGGACATAAAGTAGGGGATCAACTCCATGTAACAACCAATATAGAAACTGATCCACCACTTTGTGGTCACTGTTGTTTCTGTGCATATATATCCCAAACATTGTAAATATATCTAAACGACATGCCTGTGTAGCTAATCAGTATTTGATTGACTGATTCATTGATTTGTTTTCTATGCCTTATCAAACTTTTGCTGGTTATTTAAAGCCAGCAAATATTTTTAGATTATAAGAATTTGCTTGGAGATAATAATGATTTATTGTTACAAGTTTTATTAATTAACCGATATCTGGGTGGAAAAGAGGTGGCTCCATACTTTCACCAATATAATTTGTACATAAGTGTATATAACGAACCAGACTGGATATGAAGAGACATAGATAGATAGATAGATAGATAGATAGAAAGAAATAGACAATGATAGATAGATAGATAGATAGATAGATAGATAGATAGATAGATAGATAAATAGATAGATAGAAATAGACAATGATAGATAGATAGATAGATAGATAGATAGATAGATAGATAGAAAGAAATAGACAATGATAGATAGATAGATAGATAGATAGATAGATAGATAGATAGATAGATAGATAGAAATAGACAATGATAGATAGAGATAGATAGATAGATAGATAGATAGATAGATAGATAGATAGATAGATAGATAGATAGATGAAGAGATAGAAAGATAGATAGATAGATAGCAATGAGACAATGATAGATTGATAGATAGATAGATAGATATGAAGAGACAAAGATAGATAGATAGATAGAATTAAACAATGAGAGATAGATAGAAATAGATAGATGATAGATAGATGAAGAGACAAGATAGATAGATAGATAGATAGATATGAAGAGACAAAGATATGAAGAGACAAAATAGATAGATAGATAGATAGATAGATAGATAGATAGATATGAACGACAAAGATAGACGATAGATAGATAGATAGATAGATAGATGGTTAGATGGATACGATAATGACCGATCGATATCGATGGATAGATCAATCGATAGATAGATGAGATAGATCGATAGATAGATAGATAGATAGACAGACAGACATGTGTGTATCTATGTATGCATGTAGAGCTAATGAGAGAATATAATTTTTACCAGAAGAAAGTTCAACTTTCTCAAATTCTTTACTTAATTCAAATTAGATCTTTATTTTACATTCACTTTTTTCGAATTTTCCTGTCTTGTTCCACTTGCTTCCATCCTTCCTATCTACATGTTTTTTTTGTTGCAGGCCGGCGTGCAGACCCCGTCATAAGCAGGCGACAACTACAGATAATAATGCTCAATACGAAGAAAAACACAAACATAGAAAATGAAATTACATTAGAACTTGATGTAGTTTCACGAAGATAGCAAAGAAATTAAATTGATTGTCCATTTCCATATTTTCTTCCCCATCTGGTCTTGTATTTAAACAATTTAATACATTTCTACAGCATCTTTAGTTGGGTGTTTTTTTTTTATTTTGATTTGTTTAGAATGAAATTTATTTGTTTCTTAGGAAAAATTATTTTCTGTTACAAGAGGCACATATGTTTTTTTTTCCTTTTTTTTGTTATTAGTTTCTCTTTTTGTTTCTTGTTTAATTTCTGAATTGCATTTTTTTTTCGTTTTTTTAACATCTCTTTTCTTTATGACGACTGCATAATTTATCAAAATAAAAAAATAATAACTACATATAAAAAAAATAAAAAATAAATTGCAAATCAAATATTTTTTATCATTTTACCACATCAGTCACTCGTCTTTTATTTTGTTTCTTTCATATGCTTTAAATCAATGCTTTTGGCGGTATAAATCAACTTTTACGAGCGATTCGTATTGTTCCTTCTAAAAAGGATATTAAAAAAAAAACGTTTTCATAGAAAATACGAAAACAGACAATATTTTTTCTTATAAACCACTCGCGATAATTATTTTAAAACAATACTAATTTTAATTTTCAGAAAACCACAACAAATATATATTTGTTTTCATAGTCATAAAATTTTATTTGACGAAAATTACTTCTGAAAAAAAAAAAAACAGATCTATCTTAAGCACAGACATGATAATTAATATCTCCAAAAGAGTTCTGTTTTGAAAATTAATGTCGAAATGGGCCCGATAAATCTTTTGGCATGTGGCTAGTCTCCAACCATTTTGACGAGGAATGTTTTACTTGTATTGGGTAACCAGAAAAAATGTTACTCAGCAGAGCTTTTTTTGCCTCAAAAATAATTTAAAAAGACAAGCCGAAAACCTATATTGAAAACATTTTTTTATTAATAAATTTATTTATAAGTAAGGGTGTACAAATGAAAAGATTTGAAATTCACACGATTTTTCGCTTTCAATGAAACAGGCGTTAAACACTTCTATCTTTTTTACTTTTTCTCACTGAAACAAACTAGTGTCAATTATAAATCAGATCCATGTTCTCACGCGGTCAAAACGGAATAGTGCATTTTTATGCGATATTGGCAGGCCGTAAAAGTCGTGCCAAATAACTAAGAAAGTACCTAACTAACTATTGTAACCTAGGGAAAGTTACTGAATAGAATAATCACACAAAGGTTGGTAATGAACGATAATACTTAGGACAAGAACAACACATATAAGATTTGCCAGCGGCGCGTAGAAGTAGTAGTCAACTGCTAGAAGTGAGTCAAGGGAATTTCACAATGAATCTCCAACTGCAGGATATCTACCAACCGCCCTACGCGGTTAGATGTGGCACAAGGTAGCTGTTTCCTGTGACGAGACTCTGCCCTTCGATATAGCCTCGTCTGGGGATTCTCTCTGCCCGAAGGCAGAGAGTTTGACTAGCACAGCTGGAGACGAATCTCCAACTGCAGGATATCTGCCAACCTCCCCACGCGGTCAAATGTGGCACAAGGCCGAATTCAGTGTGGGGCAAAAAATTCCCCATAGACTCTATATAAAACGGGGTAGCTGTTTCTCCAAACGAAACTCTGCTCTTCGACATAGCCTCGTCTGGGGACACTCGCTGGAGGCAGAGAGTTTGACCAGCACAGCTGGAGACGAATCTCCGACTGCAGACCATCATATCCATTATCGTCCGTAGGTAAGCTACAACACTAACGAAAGTAAAGACAAGGGGAATTATAATGGAGATATCATAAAAATATTATTTGAGTAAAAAATCTTAAAATGCACATAAATTTAAGATTATTATTTTAATTGGTTTAATATTGTCGAAATGTAGCTTCTTATTAACAAAGACTTACAGTACTAAATATGCCTTCATATTTCATATAAGTTAAAGTTATCCTTCTTCAGTCTTGTTTTAATGGTTATGGTGAGATTAATCGTTCACCATTCATTGACAGAATAATTAGTATCACCGTCGGTGCAATATATAGTCTTTTCATTAAAACAGTTTTCAGGATAATAGGCATTTCAACTCCACTATCTGTTATAGTTCTTTCTAGTATTGATAGATGTTTCCTTCCAAACCTTTTGCTTATCGTAGTGTAGAAAGTCAACATCTTCATTATGTCATTATTTTCCCTTTTTCTTGGAAATCTTCAAGTGATATGTTTTTTTGTTTGTTTGTTTTTTTTTTGTTTTTTTTTTTTGTTATTTTAAAAAAAAAAAATTTAAAGCATTTCACCGCAAGCAAGTCGGACGTGCCACTAGCGCAAGAGTAAAGACGGGTGTTTGAGGAAAGGATATAGAGAAGGACGATGATCAGGATGAAGGCATCAGAAGATGTCGATTGACATTACCTTTGAATATCTGAAGATTATAGCTATCAGGGAAGCAAGTAAGAGGAAGGGAGTTCCACTCGCGAGAAGCGAGAGAGAAAAAGCAGTTGGCGCAGAAGAGGTGTTTACATTTAAACTTTTCGGCAGTGAAAAGTGTGGGACCGAGATTCGAACCTAGTAGCACGCTTAAATTCATGCAGTTTGGGAACCAGTGAAAGTAGCTCGTCAGAGCAGTTGCCATGAAAATACGTGTAAAAAGTCAGAGGGAAGCCACAGAACGTCTGTGAGCAGGTGACTATAGATGAGATGCCAGATCAGGACCTATCACATTGCATATCCATCTCTGGATTCTGTCAGCAGTATTGCATGCAAGGACGAATGGTTGATTTATAGATTTGAAGAATGGGGTCAGGCAGGAAAAAATTTATTGGCAATTTCTTTGTTGTTAATGATTCTGTAATGCCAGTCTATAAGAAGTAATGAAGAGATAGCTAGAGTATATCTTCGAGCATAGTGGGACTGTTTATGGCGGTTTTACGCCAAAATAGAGGGTCGCATTATATACAGATATTTTTTGCGAGGTTAACATATCATGCTTATTCGGTGACCGGTTGCACAATGCACAGATAAATTGTTTCTCGTGAGGTTAAAATTCATGCCTTTTCGGTGATTGCAACCTACATGGTCGATACCTTTGCTTAACATTAACGGTACAGGTAAGCTCCTTTATCCAGCCCCTCGTAAATTAGATTATTACTTTCCGTTGCTACGCGAAGACCAGGGCGTCATTGACTACGTGTATCGTTGAAAATGTGCGTCCAATCTGTATTCATCTTCGTCCGCACGTTTTATTTTTCATTGCCGAGACATTGTTCTACAAATGGTCCT